CCACCCGGGGCTCCTGCCCCCCATCCCCCCCGGCTAGCCTCTGGAGCATGCCTATTTAATGAGCAGCCGGGGAGGGTCTGGAGAGGCTGGGGGGAAACCCAAGGATTAGAATTAAATCCACATGGGGGGGGCTGTCAGGGACCCTCCCTGCTCGTCCCCCTCTTTTATATGCCCCTTCCCCACTACTGGGGTGTCTGTGTGGGGAATCACCTTTGGGATGCCTCTGCTCTAAGCTCCTTAAAGGCCCCATGAACTGCCCACATCCCTTCCAGTTTCCAGCATTGTTCGCCTGCCCTCCCCAAGTGTGATAAGCCCCTGGACATGGGGGGGGCTGTCAGGGACCCTCCCTGCTCGTCCCCCTCTTTTATATGCCCCTTCCCCACTACTGGGGTGTCTGTGTGGGGAATCACCTTTGGGATGCCTCTGCTCTAAGCTCCTTAAAGGCCCCATGAACTGCCCACATCCCTTCCAGTTTCCAGCATTGTTCGCCTGCCCTCCCCAAGTGTGATAAGCCCCTGGGCTGCCGGTCAGGAGTGAGGGGCACCGTCAGGGTTTCGGGGGGGGGGGAGCCTAGGGCTGGGCTGGCAGAGGCTGCGGGTCAGGAGTAAGAAACACTGGCAAAGCTGGGGGGAATCTTGCCTCAATCTTGCCTTCCTCGGGGTGGTGCGAACAACCCCAAATTCTGTCAAGTGGGAAGGGTTTTGAGGTAACCATTTTGAACTGGCTTTTGCTCCTATATCTGGGGGGTAGCTCAGGGATTCCCCCAAATCCATCTCCTTGCAGCTGCTAAGTTGTTGGGGTGCACTGGACACAATTTATTGGATCAGCAGCCCTGCAAAACCTGGATCCTCCTTTCTTGCTTTCACTCACCTCTGCTTTCCAGAGGGGGGGGACGCCAATAATTCTATCCCCATTGCCAGCTGAACTAGGGGAGTAAAAGCTGTTTGGGGGATGTGAACCCCCCAATCCTACCGCTCATTGCTATAGACACCCCCTTCTATTGTCATCTCTGTGGGGGCACAGTGGGTCCCACAGTTTCTGCCAGCCTGTAGGGCAGGGGCCACCACTTTTAGTCTGGAGAGGAGCTAGGTTGGGGGAAAGCTCAGGGAGTCCCCAATATTGAACTACATTAGGGGAACCCCCAATACCAGGCTGGCCTAGGGCCATGGGAAGGGGTCCCCCAGTACTGAGAGAACCTGGGAGAGCTGAATTCACTTTGGTTGGAAGCTCAGGGGCTCCCCCAGACTAATCTAGACTAGGGAAGGGGACCCCCATACTAGGCTAGTCAGGGGGATTCCTGGAACTGAGTCAATTTGGGGGGGGGGCAAGACCAGGGGAATTCCCCTCCAGCTGTAGGTTTCCTCCAAGGTGTGTGTGTGTGTGGGGGGGTGCCTGTGTGACATTGTGTGTGTGTGTTTTTTCTCCATCCCTTTCTCTCTCTCATCTCTCCATCCCTCTGCTTTGCTGCTGCCCCCACCCCCTACACACACCAGCCTCGCTCACTCGCTCACCAGTCGGTGCCATACAAATTAACCTCGCCAGTTGAAGGACGCCTGGGATTGTGTGTGTGTCTAGGGGGGCCACCTGCCCTCCCCCCTCTCTCCAGAGCGAAGGAGCGTGGCAGACAGCGGCAGAAAAGAAGTTGGCCACCCCCACCAGGGATCTCACCCCATCCTTCTCTCCAGCCTCCAAACACAGACCATTCTTTCTGATCCCAACCCAGCTCCGGTGCCTGATTTTTGGAGATCTCGCCCGTGCTTCGTTATTTTGTCTCCCTTTGCCGCGCTTCTGGAAAGAGCCCCAACCAGCCAAAGGCTGCGGCTTGTGGGGCTGGGGCAATTTGGACCACAGGGGGTCCGAAATCCTGCTGTGGAAGGGAATTGATTCGCTTATGCTGAGTGCCATTGTGGTTCTTGTCCTGGCCAGAGTCTGGACCTTGACTGTACCTTGACCAAGACATTTGCACTGTGACAAAAAAGAATTGACTACCCTGGTTTGGAAAGGGGGGAGGGATACGACTGGATTTATTAAATGCTCTTCCAGCTCACGCCTCACTGACTACCTCTGGGATTTGCTGAAAAGGGGAGAAAGAAACCAGCAGCCAGCCCCCCACTGGACTAAATTAACCCTGAGCTGGATTCCTAGCTGGGTACTCAGGGCTGTGAATTTGCCCTCTCCAAGAGAGGGGCACGAGGGGAGGGTATAACCCCCACCCAATGGCTAAGCTCGTCCGAGGCATGAGTGCATGGCGGCGCTGGCCAGCTCCTTGATCCGACAGAAACGGGAGATACGGGACCCCGTCGCCAGCCGCCCTGTGGCCCCCCAGCGGAAAGTTTGTCCCCGCGGCACCAAATCCCTCTGCCAGAAGCAGCTGCTCATTTTAATCTCCAAGGTCCGACTCTGCGGCGGGCGGAAGGGACGGCTGGAAAAAACACCTGGTGAGTGATTTCCAAGATGGGGAGAGGGTAAGCAGGCAGTATAGCCCTGTAATGGCCTGATGCCAATGGGAGGGGGCATAATGCAATGTTTGGGCAATTTGCTGCTAATACCCAGGCTTCAATGCCTTGTGCTTACAGCAGGGAGCACTGTGATGAGCCAATAATACTATATACTCCATATACTGTCTGTCTTTCCTTGCAATGCCTGGTGCTAATTGCAGGGGGCACTGTGACAGGTCCGATAACGCTATATACTACATATATTGACCATCTTTCCTTGCAATGCCAGGGGTTAGAACTGGACCTGGCACTGTGCTCCCTGCTGTTGGCACCAGGCCTTGCAAGGAAAGATGGTCAATATATGCAGTATATAGTATTATTGGCTCTGTCACAGCTTCCTTTGCTGTTAGCAGCAGTCACTGCAAGGATAGATGGCCAAAAATATACAGTGTATCACATTGCCTCCTCCTAATGCTGTATATTCTATATATTGACTATCTTTCCTTGCAATGCCTAATGCTAACAGCAGGGGTGCTGTGACAGCCAGACATGCATTGTATGGCATATATTGACTGGCTTTCCTTTCAATGCTTGGTGCTAATAGCAGGAGGGTACTGTGACAGAGCCAATAATTCTATACACTGGACATTGACCATCTTTCCTGACAAAGCCTGGTGCTAACAGCAGGGGGCACTGTGACAGGTCCAATAACACAATATATATTGACTGCCTTTCCTTGCAATGCCAGTTTTTTGGCTGCAGAGGACTCCATGAACCAATAGTATTTATGGACTACCATGCTGGAAGGGCATTTTGCCAAGATTAGAAATGGAGGAGTTGGATTAGCATGTGCAGTTAGGGATGGGAGCATAGTTCAGTGAAATGGCTTCAGTATATGGACCAGGTTGTATTTAATCTAGAATGCTGTCTGCTGGCCAAAATGTTCACCTAGGATCATTGTTTGCAGAGTGAGAAATTCCAGTGAGTGTTTCATTTGTGGCTCTGGTGGTGTTTCTAGTCTATATTGGGTAAAAGTGCCCACCACTGAGCATTAAGAGTGTTGTGTCTCTCACATAAATAAACCCCACTGATTCTTGGGTTTAAAAACATGGTATGGCCAGTATGGACTGGTCCATATTGGACTCTATCGCTCCCTGCAGGATGAAGTGTGTCTGTATGGACTACTGTTCAGAGATATATGTGCTGTGGACTCATTAGTTTTCAGTCACATTGAACAGACTGGTCTATACTGAGCTAGAATGCGCCCCATTCCCAGAGGAAATTTGTGGAATGACTGTATTGAATGATGCCTCTCTCTGCTACTGCAAGATAAGAGGCAGTGGAGCTCAAGACTCTTGGATTCTCTCTCCAGTTTTGGAAGGAGAGTGGAGGCTGGTGGGTTAGAGCAGGGGAGGCTGGGAGCCAAGGCTCCTGGGTTCTGTCCCTAAGTCCCTTTGGAGCAAAACTTCCATGGGTGAATCATTTCCTTGGGAGAAATAAATCAATTCCAGCTGTAATTTGAGTTTCAAACTTGGCTGGGATTATATGGACCAGTCTGTATTGTGCTTTAGCGCCCCTGAACACACTGTGCTCATTATTTCCCTTGGAGACACCAATCCCAGGGACTTTCTAGGCACTGGTGTGTGAAAGGGCAGAAGCTGCTGTTATATTGGGGAACCAGCCAAGTCCCCCCCTTGGGTGAGGAAGGGGGGGAATGAATCCAAGGGACTGTACCCAGGAGTCTGGGTGGCTGGGACCCAGGGGCAGCAATGTGATAAAACCCTCTCACTCTCTTTTCTCTCTCTGCATTATTCTTTCTTTCCTACTTTCCCTCACATTTCAAGTCCTCCTACTTGCGCATTGCCAGGGTATTGTCCTGGCTTCCTGTTGGCATGTTCTTTCTTCCATGCTTTCTCTTCCTTTCCTGGCTCTGTCATTCGCTCCTTCCCTCTGTTTCCTTCTCCCTTTCTTTTGGCCTCCCCTGTAGCCTTCCATTGGTTTCTGTGTCCTCAGTTTCCCCTTTCTGCTGGCTTTCCTTTGTTCTTTCATTCTCTGGCTACAACCTGGGTCAAAACCCATATGATTTCACATTAAAGTCCTCAGGGAAGATTCCCCCTGTCTGCCCCCAATGTTTTGGGGGGCTTCCCAGTTTGTTTTTACAGGGGGAAGCCCTGTCTCCTCATAAACCTAGGACACCATTGCTGCCCATCTTGGCTAAGAAGCATTGCTGAACCTGCCCTCCTGGTTCTCCGTCCCTCCAGATTATTGTCACTAAGGCTTAGACCTAGAGGAGAGAGGCTCCATGCCCCATTCCCTGTCCCCCCCATCCCGGAGCCAGCCAGCTAATCCCTGCCCTGTGGCCAGATGGGAGCTGGCACCCCTAGAGAGGACAGGCCCCAGGGGCAATTCCCCATCCCTCCTGAGCCAGCCAGTCCCCACCCTGAGGCCCGATTGGAGTTGGCGCCCCCTAGAGGAGGCAGCGAGCAGGGAGGGTCCATACTAGGACCTTGAGGCCTGGCTGGAATTCCAAAGCCTCCCTGCCAGTACCTCCTGCCATGTCAGCAGCATTTCTGCCTCCCCCTGCATCTCGTTCTGCTTTCCTACCCCTCCCCCACAGCCCTTCACCGTTATTATGAGACCCTGCTGGGACCAGTGCCACCTTGGCCCTGGTCCTGCACCTCATTATCCTCCCGTGTCCTTGCTGCTGGCAACGGAGCTGTGCATGGCCCTCGGCCAAGCCCCATGTGCTCTGCAGTACCAGGAGCACAGGGTATGTCCCCCAACCATGCCAGCCCCGGGGAGGAACCCAGGAGTCCTGGCTCCCGGCTCCCTGCTCTGACCCACCAGCCCCCACGCCCCTCCCAGAGCTGGGAAAAGAACCCAGGAGTCCTGGTGCACAGACCCCTGCTCTAACCCACCCGCCCTGGACAGGGAAGTTCTCAGAGAAGGAATCCTTAGCCGGTCGAGCAAGGCCTGGTCCCCAGCCACTGTTCCTGGGGCCCAGCCATAATTTTGTTTGTTGTTAGCAGAGCAAGGGACTTGGAAATAGAACTGGCATCTTTCCTGGCCCTGGATGTATCTGGGGGAGCCAATGTGCACCCCCATGGCATGATGCCCCCTGCTCTGCTGTACCCCTCACTCCTGACCTGCAGCCCCTCTAGTCCAGCCAGATGAGCCCTACGCTCCTCCTGAATTGTCTTCCCTGGCTGAATCTTTTCTAGCTCCCATCCGCAGAGCTGATCGAACCCCAGTTATTCCTCCCTCCTCACCGCAACCAATAACCCTTTGCACAGCCAGGCAGCATGTGTACATTAAAATAAATTAAAGTAATTTAAATACATTTGCATACATTAAGAGGGGAAGCGCAGCGCATTGTGGGAGCACAGCTGGTTGGGGGAGTGAAAGGGTGCTTGGAAATAGGCCATTGTTAAATGAAAGGATGGTTAATTATCCAGGGAAAGTCACTGCCTGCCAGCCTTGCCTCCCACCCCAGCCTTGGGCTCTCCCAGCCCTGCCGGTGCCCCACACTCCCAATTTGCAGTCCCTCCCCCCCAACCCTGCCGGTGCCCCTCACTCCTGACTCACAGCCCCATCTGAGGGGCGGGCATTCCTAAGTAGTTTTCACTGTGTGGGTGGTGAACACTCCTGGGCTGCAGCAAGATGGGGAGGGAAGGAAGGGGACAGAGTCCGTCTGTCTGTCCATCCCATGCTCTGCCGCACCAAGTATCCAGCCGGGGCTGGAGTAGCTTCCCTCTCCCCAGCCTGCCCCATTTTTCCTGCTGGGAGAGGCCAGGGCTTGTGTGGCTAGGGTAAAGAGGGTACAGTAACAGCTGGCTCAGCGCAGCTGGGGATCTGGGAGAGGGGGCTGGAGCCAGGCCAGGCTCTGGGCGGCAGAGGTGATGGGATCATGTAGCGGAATTACAGCATGGCCAGGTGCAATGGGACATTGTGGGGCTGGGGGGAGGAGAAAGGTAGAGAAAGAGAGTTGCAAATGGGAGAGGATGAGAGACTGGGCAGGTGCACACACACTCCTCAACACACATGCATACAGAGCACACACATGTGCAGGCGCGCACACACCTCGACACACACACAGAGCATACACGTGTGCAGGTGTGCACACACACACACACTTCAGCATACGCACACAGAGCAGAGATATGTGCAGGCATGCACACAGAGCTCAAGACACACACAGAGCACACACGTGCAGATGTGCACCCAGCTCAGTACAAATGCACACAGAGCACACACATGCAGGCGCGCACACACCTCCATACACACACAGCATACATGCGTGCAGGCGTGCACACACACCTCAACACACACACATACAGAGCACATGTGTGCAGGCGTGCACACACACACTTCAACACACGCACACAGAGCACACACGTGTGCAAGCGTGCACACACACAGCACAAGAGACGCGGCTGGCCCAGAGAGCTATAATTTAGACATGCTGTTGGAGTATGAATTATACAAACCTGCTCATTAAGATGTCCCTTTGCATTTGGCGTACTACAGGACTCCTGGGTTCTCCCCCCAGTTCTGGGAGGGGACTGGGAGCTGGTGAGTCAGAGTGGGGGAGGAAGGGGGGCTGGGAGCCAGGACTCCTGAGTTCCCTCCCTGGGCATGAGACACACCAGGCCCTACCCTCCATGTACCTGTTTTCTGGCTGGTGAAAGACTGTGGGAAGGTCTTACACAGCCCCTCATGGGATCATTGGAGGAGCCCAGATGGGGGCAGGGGATTTGATGGGCTGGTTTTGGTCCTGCATCATCCTCATGTAACCTACTCCGGTGAAATTCAGAGGTGTCATCCTGGTGATCCCCCCTTTGTGTCCCTGCCTTGCACAGGTTTCTTCTTGTGGGCCTCCCAGCCTTCACCCCGCCACTTCCAGGAGCACCCCCTTGGATTGTGTTTCCCACACAAGTGGATCCCTCACTCTGGGACCCCAGGCACACATATAGCACCAGCAGCCCTTCCCTCACTGTCAGGAGCGAATCAATTGTGCTGCATCCCCATCGTAATGTGTGGCCATAAATCAACACGGCAGGGGCACAGAGGGGTCAGCTGCAAGCAGCCTTGGGGAAGGCTGTGCGTGAGCTAAATGCAGTCCAGCGCCCAGTGCCACGCTCTGAGATACCCACGCCTGGGCAACGGCATGGACTACATGGCTCTCAGCAGCAAGTACAGGCTGTGTTCATGAACATAGGCTATTTCTAGACTGCAGAATTATATTGGAAAAAGATATGCAAATTGCGAACTGCAATTTGTGTATCTTTTTCCGCTTTTTTTTTTGGAAGAGGCTTTTCCAAGATTTGACCCCTCTACACGGGGCCAAATTTCGGAAAAGCCTCCTGTGACATAGTGTTGGTACCTTGCTGGTTGCTAGGCAGGGGCTGTGGGTGACCCCCACTGGCTGCTGTCTGTACCACGGCCCAGCAGAGTAGCTGATGGGACAGGGAGGTAACCTGTTCGACCAGTTACCTCCCAGGGAGAGAAACAATGGAAGGAGGGGAGGTCAGCCCTGGCTGGGGGACAGAGCTGGAAGGGACATTTTTAGTTTCTGTCTGGTAACATGGAGGAAGCAACCTACAAGAGGGTCTGGGATTTAGGGGCCCAGTCTCCCCCATCTCAAGGGGGGCTGAGGCATCCTAGGCCTGCCCTGTAACCAGATTACATCTATACTGTGCTGTATCCTGGAGAAGCAATAAACTCCCTCCATTCTACTGGCTGGGGGAATCCGTTCGTGCCACTTCGGGAGGCAAGGGAACTCCGCCGCCGCCACACCTCCTCTTTCAGAACATCCCTTATTCTTAATACAATGAGGAATACCGGGATGTTGGAAGAACACGTCCGCTTTTTCAGAAACTGTTCTGAAAAAGCGGACGCGTTCCTTGGACATGGCATAGCTTTTCCGGGATACTTCTGGCATCCCAGGAAAGCTCTTCAGAGTAGACATAGCCATACGCACAGACTGTATGCATAGGTACATGCACAGACTATGAGGGCAGGGGACTGGACTCGATGACCTCTCGAGGTCCCTTCCAGTCCTAGTATTCTAGGATTCTATGATTCTATGCACGGGTACACAAACAGACTGTATACACAGACACATGCACAGATTGTGCATGGATAAATGCACAGGCTGTGTACACAGGTACATGCACAGACTGTATGCATGGATACATGCAGACGCTGACCGTATTAAAGGAACCATGTAAGTATAGGCCATATGCATGGATACCTGCATATGCAGGCTATGTGCATGAACACATGCAGGCTGTGTGCATAAATATGTGCACAGGGAGTCTGAGTGCACGATACACATAGAGGCTGTATGCATGGTACATACAGGCTGTATGAACAGATGCATGCACATGTGCAGGCTGTATGCACACAGGTGCATGTGCAGGCTGTATGCTCAGATGCACACATGTAGGTTATATGCATGGACACAAATGTGCAGGCTGCATATGCTCCACACAGGCACTAGGACACCTGCTTCACTGCGGCACTTACACACACAAACCCAACAGGGACAACTGCACACTCACCTTAGCTACATTGCCATACTCATTAGCACACACACACACAGCCCTACACGCTCCTCATGTCTACATCCACTCCTGTGTGTACACAAAAGCACAGAGACAACATCACACAACCACACACCTTCCACCACGTGGCCCGGCACAGTCTCCCCCTCAGAGACAGCTACACACACAGATGTCTGCACACACAGCTACACATAAAGACTCTGCTTCATACATACAACACACATGACACAACTGTGACCTCAGTAGTGGTGGGGGGAGGGTGCTGGGAGTCAGGACTCCTGGGTTCTCTCCCTGGCTATTGTGAGGTAAGTGTCTGTGGCTGCCTGCAGGATTCTAGGCTAAAAGGGGCAAGAGAGAATCAGAAAATTATGGAGCATCTTTTATTTATCTGCCAGCCACTTTCTGCATCACTGCTTGTCCTGCTCTCTGGGGTCCCATGGGGGGCCCTGTCAGAGTTAATTTCACTCCAGCACCCTTCACAGCAACTCAAACAATACATCTTCCAGCACACCCTGCCTCTGCCAGGGGCTGGGGGAGGCTGGAGGAGCAGTGCCTAGTGGTGAGAACAGGGCATGCTGGCAAGCCAGACTCCTGGGTTCTCTCCCAGTTCTGAGAAGGGAGCAGAGGTTGGTGGTTTAGAGCAGGGTGGGTGGGCGCCAGTAACTCTGGGTTCTATTCCTGTCTTAGTCCCAACCCTTTTGCATGCCCTGGTACAAGTCATGTCAGGGCCCTGTGCCTCAGTTTCCCCACTGCTGTGCATTCAGAGAACAGTATCTGAGTGCTGAAATGCCTATTGAATGGCAAGAATCATTGTCATATTTTGCTGGTGGCTTATCAATATGCCCCATATCTCGGCGCTCTACTTTCCAACTCACACACAGTGCAGCCCTCTATTAAACTACTGTCAGCACTGTACATAGGATCTATTTGAAAACTATTCCTCAGAATTTTTCATTGCTCATTCCTGGGCCAGTCTGACATGATCTAATCGCTGTCTATTGCTCCCTATAAGAATAATCTTTTATTCGGTTACTTTTTACCACTTACAATATTTATCCAGCTACAGTCCTGCTTTAACAATGTTTTTTTTTTAATCTGGGAATTTCACATTTAATATTTTCACATGAACTTTTATATTTACAGTTTGATCATTACAGATATGTTCTCTAAGAAACATTTTCTTCTGTAATATCTTTCACTTCTCATATAAACCAATTTTTGTCATCTGGGGGAGTTGTTCTTTTCCCCTGTGTCCCCTGTGAATGTATACAGGTATTGATTTAAAGGTGGTAAGAGCTTCTCCATCTTAACAAAGGTTTTGTTTGTGTTTTGCTTAGGCAAATCCTCCATTTCTGTGTGAAATTCCTTGTCTTTATGTATTGATTTATCGTGACTGATATTTTGTCAATGGTCACAAGGTTTTCTGTTTGGAATTGCCTTCATTTTTTACACACAAAATCTATATTTAGTGATTTTAAATTCAAGTCTTCATAAAGCTTTTGGTCTATAATGTCCTTGTTTTTTCATATAAAATATTATATTTATTGCTTCAAAGTTAAGGATGGTTCCTCAGTCTTAATCAAGTGTTTTATTTGGTAAATTCCTCCATTTTTCATTTGAGTATTTGTATTTATTGATTTAAAATTACTGCTACTTTCCAACAGCCTGTTTTCCTCTGGGGATTTTTCTTGTTTTTTTTTCATATGAAATTTTATAGTGAGGGATACTTTGTCAACTGAGTTTTGGGGTTGGAATTGCCTTCATACCTGCATTGATTAATTGAAAACTGTATATTCTTTCTGAAGCTTAGCAAAGTTTTGTTTGCATATTGTCTTAGATTTTCATACAGAATTTCTTTACAGATTTAAAATTACTGGTACTTCCTTAATCTTCACAAAGATTTGTTTGGGAATAGCCATAGTTTTTCATCCTAAAGACTCTATTTATTGATTTAAAAGTAGTGATACTTCTCCATCTTAACAAAGTTTTTGACTGGGAATTTTCTTAGATTTTCATGTGACAATCTGTTTACTAATTACCAATACTTTCTCAATCTTCACCAAGATTTCTTTGGGAGTTGCCTTAGTATTGCATCTGAATGTCTGTCTCTATGGATTTTAACTTAATGTCTGTGCTCCAGCATATGACATTTTCTGCTAGTTGTTGTAAAGTTCCTGGTGTTTTTTCAACATTCCTCAAGGCTTTTCTCTGGTATTTCCCATTGTTGCTCATACAAAATTCTGTCTGGCCATCATTAAAAGTTCCTGAAGCTTTTCCTCAGCCTTAATGAAGTCATAAGGCTACGTCTATGTCTACACTTCAGGTATCCCAAAATAGCTATTCCTCATCTTTTGAACGCAGCCGTCACTTTGAAATATAATGGGCTGACTATTCTGACGTCCCTGTAAACCTCATTCCACGGGGAGTAAGGGGCATTTTGGAATAGTGGGTTATTTTGAAATAAATGCTGTGTAGACAGAGCCGATATTATATGCTATTTTGAAATTAGCTCGAAATAAGCTATGCAGTTTGTGTAGCTCAAATTGCGTAGCTTATTTTGAGCTCCGGGTGCAGTGTAGACACACCCCAAGGGAGCACTTCCTCCTGGCCACTGGATAATCTACTTTCTGTTCTCTCCTCGGCTCCCATCTCCACACCCCTCCCTCAGAGCCGCAGCTGAAGGGGATCGTGACCAAACTCCTCTGCCGACACGGTTTCTACCTCTGCATGCACCCAGATGGCAGCATCGATGGGACAAAAGAAGATACCAACAACTTCAGTGAGTGGCAACCAGGCAAGGCTGGTAGGATACAGGCCATCCTCGCTGTAAGTCCAAGATACATTCCAAAAAACTTGGACTTATAGCAAAGCAACTTGCAGCAGGGAATTTTTTCCCCACAGCTTACTTCCATTGGCGCAAATTGGGGTTGGTTTTTTTTTGTGCAACTTAAGAGCGGGGAATGGGAGGGCTTATAATGCATCAGTTCCTACAAGTGTCAACGACTTTAGTGCGGAACGGATGTATACCAGGGCGACTTATAGTGGGGATGCTGTGTACGCAGCATTAGGCTGGATGGGGGCAATCCAAGCAGCAGGGAGTGGGGTGGGCAGTTCTGCTGCAGGAGTTGCTATACTGAGAGGGCAAAAGGGGATCTCTCCATTCCAGCCCTCCCATGCTGGCTTCTCTGTCTTCCCATCTTCCACCTTCCCTCGGCTAGCCCCATCTCTGCCCTGCCTCCTCTTGTGATCCCCAGAGCCCACCCTGCATCCTCATCCCTTTTGCCTCTCACTCTCCTGGCCTGCTGTGCCTCCCGCCCCATCCCTCTGCACCTCCATCCACTTTCTCCCTGCCAGGCCCCCCCTCTCCTCCCACATTACCCTCCCAGCCACATAGCTGGCCTTGGGGTGGGAATGGGGCCCGGGGCCCATCTAGGGTTGCCAGATGGTTTCAACAAAAATAGCGGATACACTTGACATTACATCACAATCTACATTATATCTTATTTAGAAAATACCGGACATTTCTAGTCTCTCATTTATATTTTCTCAATTTGTTTCCTGAACAGAAAGCTCAAATACTGGACTGTCTGGTTCAAAACCAGACACCTGGCAACCCTAGGCCCGTCCCCTTTAGAGGGCACCAGCTCCTACTCAAAAATAGCGGATACACTTGACATTACATCACAATCTACATTATATCTTATTTAGAAAATACCGGACATTTCTAGTCTCTCATTTATATTTTCTCAATTTGTTTCCTGAACAGAAAGCTCAAATACTGGACTGTCTGGTTCAAAACCAGACACCTGGCAACCCTAGGCCCGTCCCCTTTAGAGGGCACCAGCTCCTACTCGGG